AGTATTTATTGAGTAATAAATACATACTGGGTTCTGTGTGCCTAACCAGTGGTGTGAGATGCCATTTGAGACATGCAAGTGAAAGCATCCCAGCTCCTCCCTGCCTGGGACCTGAGAGGCATCCCATTACTCTGCAGCCTTCCTCGACCTCTGCCCTACCATTCACTGTGTGCCAGCAACACCAGCCTGTGCCAGCAACACCAGCCTCCTTACCACTCCCCCCACCCCCAACACGCTGAACTCATTCCTTCCCTTCCCACCTGGAACAGCCTCCCTCAATATGTGAGACCCGCCCACACAGAGACAGTATTTAAAGCCACAAGAGGAAGATCACTCCTCCAAGAGAATCAGGGTGTTATTCCAAAAGAAGGCAGGATGGATGCTGGATAATAAAACCCCACAAAACGTCCATGACAGGATTCCAGGAGGGGCCCACGATCTCACAATAGGCTGAGAACAACTCAGCCTCAGCCCTCCTGAGAGCCTCTGTGTGAGTGCACATATACTCATGCATATATGGTACTGTGGCTCTGGAGACCTATGCGTATTCAATACATTTTACATTGCAGCCCAATACCATAAATGCATGTGTATATGTGCACTCACACATACACTGAAATGAAAATTTTGCAAAGCTATATTTATCTTTATTACATCATCACTCCTGATGTTTTAGATTTTTATCCTGGTTCATTAGGAAAAAAAAAAAGGCAAGCGCGATGGCTCACGCCTGTAATCCCAGCACTTTGGGAGGCTGAGGTGAGCAGATCACCTGAAGTCAGGAGTTTGAGACCAGTCTGGTCAACATGGTAAAACCCCATCTCTATTAAAAATACAAAAATTAGCCAGGCATGGTGACGCACGCCTCTAATCCCGGCTACTCAGGAGGCTGAGGGGGAGAATCGATTAAACCCAGGAGGTGGAGGTTGCAGTGAGCTGAGATTGTGCCACTGCACTCCAGCCTGGGCAACAGCAAGACTGTCTCAAAAAACGAAACAAAACAAAAGACCAAACCACACACAAAAAAACCAAATCAAACCGGGTATAACTCACCAATTTGATCTCCACAGGGCTCCCAGGTGCCCCTGCTCCACCCCGCAGCCACAACTCTCCCCCTCACTTGTTCTATCTTAACAAGCACCTAATTGACCCCCTGCTCCTGTTCCTTCCGGTGTAATCCGCCCTGCCCGAACACAGCTTTCTAAAGCCCAGCTTTGATTACATCAAAAACCTTTGGTGGCCTCCTGCCTGAATTCCAATTTCTTTGGAATTCCTCATCACTCCTCTGGACATTTTTTTCTCCTCCCTGGCACAGCACCTTCCTTCCCATGATTACCGTAAAGAACGCCTTCTCTGGGGGGCCCTCCCCACTCCCTCATGCCCTCAGTGTTTGCTGAGCACGTGCTGTGATAGATTTGGGAAATCCATTTCAACAAGGCACATGATAGCTACTCACTCGCAGAGCTGGTGGGAAAGACAGATTTGCAAACAATTACTATAAAGTATGGTGGGGAAGTTGGGTCTAAGTGACCCTAATCTACCCAGGGAGCACCCAGGAAGGCTTCCTGGAGGAAGCACCAATTAAGACGAGTGCTAAAGAGGAAGGTGTCTCCCAGGCGACACTGGCAGTGTCCAGAGACATTTTGGGTTGTTAGGATTGGGCTGGGGTGCTCCTGGCACAGAGTGGGTGGAGGCCAGGGACGCTGCTCAGCACCCTGCGGTGCCCAGTATGGGCTCACCCTGGAGAATTATCTGACACCCCACCATCTGTGGTATCGGCAGTGCCGAGTGGTAGAAACAACTCTTGAAGGCTTAGTCCAGTGCTTTCTGTATATTGATCTTCTTTCTCGCAACACTGTGAGGTATTTGTATTGTCTCTTTTCCAGAGGGAGAAACTGATGAAGGTAATTTACTTGAGGGCACAGTGGAGCTGACTCTCAAACCTGTGCAGTCCAAACCTCGCCACTCTGCCTCTCCTGGCCAAGGAGGAGCTGGGGAGTAGCAAAGAGGAGGGGGAGAAACGGTCTGATAATGGCCATTTTGAGGCAGGGCCAAGGGGTGAGGCAGGGCAATGTGGGTAGACGGAAGGTGCTGCCCACACTGTGATGGGAGACATGGGGAGGAGGTCTGGACGGCCAGATGCCGGGCTGCTGTCTTGCTCTGCCGAGGGCCAGGCACCCAGGAGCTCTGAGCAGAGGTGAAGTCAGCAGCTTGTGGAGGTATTTCCATCGTGGGAGTGGCTGAGGTGACTAAGGGGGTAGAAGGAGGAGAGGAGTGGGCAGGACCCAGGCGCAGAGGAGCAGCAGCCAGAGGCAGGAGGAAAACAGGGGTGGTGGGGGGTACTCCAGGTGGAGCTTCTCCTTTTTTTTTTTTTTTTTTCTTTTGAGACAGAGTCTCGCTCTGTTGCCCAGGTTGGAGTGCAGTGGCACGATCTCGATCACTGTAAGCTCCACCTCCCAGGTTCAAGCGATTCTCCTGCCTCAGCCTCCCCAGTTGCTGAGACTACAGGCGCCCGCCACCTCACCTGGCTAATGTTTGCATTTTTTTTTTTTTTTTTTTTTTTTTTTTGAGACGGAGTCTTGCTCTGTAGCCCGGGCTGGAGTGCAGTGGCCGGATCTCAGCTCACTGCAAGCTCCGCCTCCCGGGTTTACGCCATTCTCCTGCCTCAGCCTCCGGAGTAGCTGGGACTACAGGCGCCCGCCACCGCGCCCGGCTAGTTTTTTGTATTTTTAGTAGAGACGGGGTTTCACTGTGTTAGCCAGGATGGTCTCGATCTCCTGACCTCGTGATCCGCCAGTCTCGGCCTCCCAAAGTGCTGGGATTACAGGCTTGAGCCACCGCGCCCGGCCTAATGTTTGCATTTTTAATAGAGACGGGGTTTCACCATGTTAGCCAGGATGGTCTCGATCTCCTCACCTCGTAATCCACCCGCCTTGGCCTCTGAAAGTGCTGGGATTACAGGCGTGAGCCACTGTGCCTGGTCCGCATCTCCCCCTTCTTAGCATGCTGGTAGCTGCAGTGCGTGAGGTCCCCCCATCTTGCACTGGAGTTCCTGCCACCAGACAGTTTGTGAAGGCAGGGACATCTCTGGGGCTCCCCACCCCTCCTTGCTGACATCTGCCTGGAGGTCAGGGCTGTAATGGCAGCTCTACCATCACCGGGGACCCAGCCTCCTCTGACTCATTGTTTTCCCATCCTTATCATGGGGCTTCCACCTTGAGGTCCACTGTGGCTGCTGTGCTCCAGCCATCACATCGGCATTCCAACCAGCAGCCTTGCTTTTCCCACGTGTACGGTGGGGATTACCTCTACCTTAGGTCATCAAAAAGAGGAGACGGGACAGAAGTGTAGCATGGAGGCTGCTGTGATTATGGCCAGTAGCCCCTTGAGATGCTTGGTAAAACCAAGTTTCCCCTTTTTTTTCTGAGGCGACTGCACCCTGGGGACCTGCCCAGAGGGCTTTGGAGGCACATGATGGCCTGAGGAGCTCAAGCGGGCTCCTCCTTCCTGGGGCACCATCCCCCATGCTCTGAGCTCCCGCTTTCCCCAGCCTGTCAGGCCCCGTGGGCAGGGCTTGGGTTTCCTGCTCTGGACCCTGCAGTCTACACCGGGCCTGGCTCTGCGGCGGTTGGGGAGGTGGGGAGTTGGTACTTGCCTAATTTGACTCAGGGGTCTCAGCTGGAGGAAGGTCTGAAATTGTGACCCAGCAGGGGATGGGGCGAGTGGATTTCCTGGCTGAAGTTGGCACCGTCAGGACCCAGTGGGGTCCTGGAGTCCCAGCCCAGGGAAGGGAGGGGCGATTCTAGTGTCGCCTGGGACAGAGAGGCCTGGACTGGGGCAAAGGCTGAGTGTCTCTGGGGGCATATGGGGCACTGGCCTGGCACTCGGGAAACAGATTTAGGGGCAGCTGAGTGAGAACTGTACTAGCCTTTGTGGGCCACCCTCCCTCCCGCAGGTGGGCCCTGCCGGGTTCCTGAGCCCATTGCTGTCCTCTGCAGAGTTTCTTCAAAGTCCTGTAGCCCCGCACCACAGTCCCCTGAGAGGGAATGGCAGCAACAGCACGCTTCCTTGCCCCTACCCGAATCCCACCGAGTCAGGCTCCCTGTGGATGGGGTCCAGGAATCGGCCGTTTTTGAGCAAGCCCATGCACTGATTCTCAATGATTCTGAAGTTTGGCCCCAGCTGTACCAAGGAAACCATGAGGACAACCAGTGGTTCAGATCTGAGACCAGTGCACCTGCTTCTCCACTAGATCCAAGTGGGTCTAGCCTGTAACAAATGCAAACAGGAGGCCGGGCCGGTGGCTCACGCCTGTAATCTCAGCACTTTGGGAGGCCGAGGTGAGAGGATCGCTTGAGCTGAGAAGTTTGAGTCCAGCCTGGGCAACACAGGAAGACCTCCATCACTAAAAAAAAAAAAAAAAAAAAAAAAAAAAAAAAATTAACTGGATGTGGTGGCGCACGCCTATAGTCTCAGCTACTTGGGGAGGCTAAAGTGGGAGGATCACCTGAGCCCAAGAGGTTGAGGCTGCAGTGAGCTATGATAATGCCACTGCACTCCAGCTTGGGTAATAGAATGAGACCATCTTTTAAACAAACAAACAACAAACAAACAAACAAAAACAAAAAAACCCAAAGTGTAAACAGGAGCCACTGACCATCCTGGACAAAGAAGTGTTTCTGTGCCATCACTGGCTCAGGGTGGGACTTGCTAAGGAACTGAGGGGCCCGGGCTCCTTTTGGAAGGCACTAGAACATCCCCAGGGAGCCTGCAGGCAAGTGTGGGGGGCACCTCTGTGGCTTCTCCTCCGGGTCTTGAGTGGTTCAAACCTGGCAGGCTGGTGTCCTAGGGCGGGGGCAGGGCCTGGAGTGTGGACAGCGCGTCCAAAAGTGGGCACGCTCAGTGTTTACTGCTATGAAAAATGAGACCAGGCCTGAGAGGCTTGTGGCTTTGCTGCCACCTCTGTTGCTCCTCGTGGATCGGAAAGACGGGCCGGAGCCTAAGGCAGAAACCAGCTTGTATTGGTTACCAGGAGTGAGCAAAAGCCGGGCGTTACAATCTGTTAACTGTGAGCTTCGATGTCTCCAAGGAGAGGAGATGTATAAAGACATTCTTTCCGTCGGATTTCATCTAAGGTTTGGGCTATACGACCAGACAAACAGTGATTATTCCTGACTCCGTTTCTAAAGTGAGCACGCGTCTTTCTCCTCCCGCCCCTCCGCTCGGGCGCAGGCTGAGCATTGCTCTGAGCTCCTGCAAGCAGGGAAGTGAGGTTTTTAAAGGCCACGTGAGCTATTAGTACCTTCTGTGTGAATGAGAACAAAACATTTGGGACTGAATATACGGCAATGTACACATTCATAAGAAACATTCTAATAACAATTAGAGCACAAAACTATTGGTATAAACATTTTTCCAAAAAGAGAAAACTATTGCATTTCGTTAGAAAGCGCGTCCTGGGCCGAGGCTCGTCTTTCTTCTCTGCAGTTGGTTTGGGGCAGAAACTCCAGCACGCAGCTGTCCAACTGCAGCGGCCACATGTCTCCATGGAGACAAACTCGGTGTCTCAAGTTCGGGACTTCGAAAGTCCCGAATAGTTGTCCCCAGAGAAGAGTTTTGACTTTGAAGAGGACAAGGTGGGACTCGCTGGGGGTTGGGGTGCTCCGGGATTAATTCAGAGGGAGGTGTTCTGGAAGACTCCTGGAGCGGGACGCAGGCACTGCTGTTTGGACGACAGGCGGGATGGCTGCTTTCCGAAGTCGCGGCTGTGACACTGTTCCTGTTGGACAAACTCCTTCCACAGCCAGCGGCTTGATGGTGACAGTGAACTTGGACAGAGCCCCAGATCCTTCCTGGTGCTGATAGAACTTCTGGTTTTGAGTTTTTGGAAGACACTGCTTTGTCCTGGCACGAGCGAGCCCGTTTCTGTGGCTTGTTCTTTCTCGAGCTGTGGATCTGTCCAGGACACAGCGATTGTCAGCTGCCCCTCACGTCCTTTGGCATCTGGAGATGGGTTCCTGCAGCATGGCCGGCCTCCCGCCTCAGCGCATCGGGGCAGGGAAGTCTGGCTCTAAAAGGCCACAGGGCACCGCACCCAGCTGGGTCCCTCCCACATGGTGCTACCAGACAAGGGCACTCCACTTTCCATTCCTGAGGGGACTCCAGGGATGCTGGCGAGCTCTGTGTCTCCCCAGTGGTGGCAGGTAGGAGGGGAGAGGCCGTCCCTTTCTATTCGGGCTCTGCTAGGTTTTTTAATTTTTAAATCACGGTGAAAATTGGTTCCAGTTGAGTGTAGGGGCCAGCGCTCTCAGCACAGCCCCTTCAGCTCTTAAAGGGACTGGGGCCAAAGTCCAGAGTTCCAGCAGAGGAGGGTTTGTCCAGAACAAAGAACCCACGGTCTGGTGTGGCCCTGCTGGCTGTACAGGGGCCTGGCACCCAGAGCACAGCTACAGTCAGTGGGAGCCCCGGCCCAGGCTTCTGTAGCTTCAACAACTGCTTTCCTTCTTGAACACTCTCTCGGCCTTCAAGGGCACGCTGACCCCGGGAGCCCCCGCTTGAGTCAAAGTAAACATCCATCGTCTAAGAGGCACTAATTTGGTGGAGCCGGTGAAGTCCAGGTTCCCAGAGCGACTGGGCGGCATCTTCTGGAACCTGGCGGAGGAGCCGGCCGGGGCTGCTAGATGCCCTGCAGGGAGTGGTTGGGATCACTGCGCTCCCGCTTCACCAGGGGCTCGCCCAGGCTGTGGGCATCTGGGCCTGCCTCGCTGCCGCGCTGCTCATCGCCCATGTCGTCTGCGGAGGGAGAGGTAGGGTCAGTGTCCATCATCAGGAGGGCATGGGAGGGAGAGATGGAAGCGCATGTTCCAAGAGCTGCTCCGGCACGCCAGGCAGGGTACTAAGGACACATGGCAGCCTGTGGACCGCGCCTTGGCCTCTGCTCCAGGCTGACCTGCCCTCTCCCACCTACCTGGTCACCCAGAGGTGCCCCCAGGTCGGGCCAGGCGAAAGAGCCTCTGCCCTGTGCCTCCCTTCCCCAGGGCCGATGGGCTGGGGCCTCTGGGGTCCTCCTCCCACCCGCGTGGAGCAGGGACGGGGCTCAGGGGCTCCTCCGGCCTGCCTGTCCCACTCTACTGCTGGGCATGGGTGCAGGAGACCAGAGGCTGCCTGGTCCAGACCTGGTGCTGAGGTCCCTGGGCAGCGGCTACCCAGAGGCCAGCAGCACTCTGAGCCCCAGCCGAGCCAGTCTGCAGTGGCGCCTGCTGCCCAGGGCCCTCACCCACTGTCTGGACGCCAGATCCCAGGGCCCTCACCCCGCCAGGGGCTGCCCCCATTTCCACCTGCTCATCATGAGATGAGGCAGACAGGCCACGGCCAGGAGTACCACCCTCCTGGGAGGGCCGTGGCGGGAAAGCCGCAGCTGCACCCACCTTTGTCAAGCAGCGTCAGCGACAGAGAGGCAAGATCGTTGAACTGAAAGAGAAACCTGGAGTCAGGGGCGCCTGCAGAGGGGTGGCAGTTGCTGTTTGGGGGCTCTGGGGATGCTGGCCCAACCTTGCCTTGAGCCACGTCCTCCGTTCACAGTAAAGCAGCCAGGGTCTGCCCTGAGAAGTGGCTCTGATGCTGCCAGGCGTCTGGGTGGGTCCCTGTCCCCTGTCCAGGCCGCCTCTGGGAACTGCTGGGGGTGGAGGGTGCTGACTGCTCGAGGTAGTGAGGGGACAGGAGCTGGTTCCCAAGGTCCCCTGGGTGTGGCTGCTCCGGGTTTTAAGGTGGCATGGAAGGGCCGTGGGCCAAGTTATCTTTGCTCCCTGAAGTCTGTCTACAGCATGAAAACCACTCCTTGGTGGCCCCAGAGCCCGGCGTCCACGCCAACACGCAGAGAACAGACAGCTTCCACAGTCTCTGCACACGCTGTGGGGCCCTGGCCACCGACTCTGAGAGTGCAGTGGCCTCTGGGTAGTAAGAGGGCAGGGACCCTGCCATTCATCAAGCATCACCTCGTTTCTTCCTCGAGGCAAACCCACCCAGCAAGTCCACTCCAAGGCGTGGACCCCAAAGAACTGAACACAGGTGTGCACACAAAACCCGCCCACAAATGCCCACAGCAGTGCCATTCACAACGGCCACAGAGAGGGAGCGAGCACGCAGCACGGAGGCACGAGGGTCAGCGCAGCGCGGCCAGCCACGCACTGGAACACAACTCAGCCAGGAGAGGAACCAGGCTCTGACCCGGGTCACAGCGCAGACGTCACGTTCAGTGAGAGACGCCGGACACAAAAGGCCACACAGTGTGTGATCCCATTTCTATGAAATGTCCAGGACAGGCCGATCCCCAGAGGCAGGAGGGGCCGCGTGGGGGCTGTGCTGCGGGAGGGGGCTGTGCTGCGGGAGGGGGCTGTGCTGCGGGAGGGGCTGTGCTGTGCTGTGCTGCGGGAGGGGCTGTGCTGCGGGAGGGGGCTGTGCTGCGGGAGGGGCTGTGCTGCGGGAGGGGCTGTGCTGCGGAGGGGGCTGTGCTGGTGGAGGGGCTGGGAAGTGGAGGGGCCAAAGCAAGTCTGCGGGAGGGGGCTGTGCTGCGGGAGGGGCTGTGCTGCGGGAGGGGCTTGGGAGTGACTGCTCCTGGGACGGGGTTTCCTTTTGGGGTGATGGAATGTTCTGGAACTGGACAGTGGTGCCAGCTGCACCTTGTGAATGTGCTAAACGCCACTTTATTATACACTTTAATGTGGAAATACCCACCCTATGTGTATGTCACCACGATACGGAGAACACTTTGGGCGGTGTGTCCAAGGCCTCCCCTGCGTGGCAGGACACCCAAGGACAACCTCCTTCCAGAGCCAGCGGTTTGATGGTGACTGTGAACTCGGACAGAGCCCCAGAGCCTTCCCGGTGCTGATCAAACTGTGGTTTGGATGTTTTGGAAGACACTGCTGTGTCCTGGCATGAGCGGGCCCGTTTCTGTGGCTCTTTACAGAGCTGCGGATCTGTCCGGCGGCAGAGCAGCGGGACCTGTGCGTGTCCTCTCTCCGGGCTGCTCAGAGCACACTGCCCTCTCCCCACAGGCCTGGCCAAGCCCCAGCAGTCCTGCCCAGGAGGGTCCTCACCTCTCCCATCACAGCGATCGGCGTCTCTCCGGTGGCCTCCGCGACGCGGTGCTCCACCAGGTAGAACATGTACTCGTCGTAGAGCAGGCGGATGAGGTGGAAGGAGCCGAAGCTGGCAGCGCTGCGCAGGGTCAGGTCCCGGATCACCATGGAGCTGGGAGCAAGCGGACAGAGGCTGGGGACCCTCAGGGGAACATGGAACCCGGGTCCCGGGCCAGGCTTCATGGCAGCAACACGCCCCCTGCTCTGTGTTCCCGGGGGAACCCAGACCCTGAGTGATCCTAAGACCTGCCGGCCTGTAGGGGGCCGATGACTGCCGAGACCCTGGGCCCAACATGACGGATGGGTGGGGCAGGCCTGCCCACTCAGTTCCAGAGACCGCCCGGGGGACAGGAGAGGGAGACAGGCAGTCAGCCCCAAAGCGACAGGCTGCTGGAAACACAACTGCGGCTGGTGCTAGCATGGGCGCTGGACGGAATCGTGGCTGGTGATTCCAGTAACATTTCGGACTCCGAATCAGAGCACAGGCTGGCAGCTGGTGCCTGTTTCCCCAGCAGGAGGTGCCTCTCCCCACCTTCCCCGTATCCTTGCCACCTCCCGCCATTCCTCAGCCTGTGGTTTCAGGCACCTAAACACAAGACAAAAAGCCAGGGTGCTTTAGTCTCTGTCAGCGAAAGCAGGAGTTTCAGAGACTTCAGCCCAGATCCAGTCCTCATCCAGCCCTCAGCCTGTGAGCTGAGAATGCTTTACGTTTTGAAATGGTTGGAAAAAGTCAAAAGAATAATTATATTCGGTGGCACGTGGAAATTACATGAAATTCACATGTTGGTATCCACAAACAGTTTCACTGGCATGCGTCATGCCGTTCCTATATTGTCTTTCCTAGGATGGCTGCAAATACTACCTGGTTCTTTCCAGGAGAGGCGGCCCCTGACCTGAAGGATCAATGTAAGACCAAAAGGGGCTGGGCACGGTGGCTCACGCCTGTAATCCCAGTACTTTGGGAGGCCAAGGTGGGCAGATCACTTGGGGTCAGGAGTTCGAGACCAACCTGGCCAACATGGTGAAACCCCATCTCTACTAAAAATACAAAAATTAGTCAGGCATGGTGGCAGGTGCCTGTAATCCCAGCTATTCAGGAGGCTGAGGCAGGAAAATTGCTTGAACCTGGGAGGCGGAGGTTGTAGTGAACCCAGATCATGTCACTGCACTCCAGCCTGGGCGACAGAGCAAGACTCCATCTCAAAAAAAACCAAAAACCAAAAAACCCAGAATGAAGTGGAACGATGTCTCAGTCCTCCTATGAGACCTAAATACAGCGGCGCCTGATGAAAACCTGTGGCCTACAGGCCAGGTGGTCCCCAATGCCCAAATGCCCCGTCTCGAACTAAGCTTTCATAAACTCTCAGTTACGTCTTATCAGTACTGTAGCAATAAAAAGAACACACAGGCTTGAGAAAAGCAAAGACAGCCGCACTGTGAAGACCACCAAAGCTGTCTATCCTTAGGTGTTAAGCACAGCTACAAAGCCCCCAGCCCCCTTCTGTTCCCCTGGGCCCACCCAGCTTGACTCACAAGCCCCCTTTCCCCAACGGCCTCCCCCACGCAGATGAGGTGCTGGCGCTCTGCACCCAGCTTCCCCACAGCCCCGGTGTCTGGTGCGATGCTTCAGTCCGAAGTATTTCCAGAACACCGCCTGCGGTCACCTCGGTATCTCCGGGTTCCCAAATGGGCTCGCAGCTCCCAGAGGGCAGGAGCATCGGCTAGCCACCATCAAGGGAGGCCCAGCCAGAGCTTGGGGATGACCAGCCAAGGCCTCAGCCCACATGCTACCATTTTCCAGTGGGTGCTACAGAAATAAATCCCGTCAAACCTAATTTTTATTTTTTTATGACGGCACTGCACATGCATAAGAATGAAGTCAGGCCGGGTGCGGTGGCTCACGACTGGAATCCCAGCACTTTGGGAGGCCGAGGCAGGTGGATCACCTGAGGTCAGGAGTTTGAGAGCAGCCTGGCCAACATGGCAAAACCCCGTCTCTACTAAAAATACAAAAATCAGCCGGGCCTGGTGGTGGGCGCCTGTAATCCCAGCTACTTGGGAGGCTGAGGCATGAGAATTGCCTGAACCCGGGAGGCGGAGGTTGCAATGTGCTGAGATTGCACCACTGCACTCCAGCCTGGTGACAGACCAAGACTGTCTCAAAAAACAAACAAACAAGAGAATGAAGTGGAACAGTGTCTCGATCTCCCTTGTGAAGAGCACCCCCGCCTTGCAGACGTGACCCTGCTCCCCTCCAGCTCTGAGCTGTGCTCTTCTCTGGCTGGCAGGTACCTCAGTCCTGTGCTCACTCTGCTCTTCTCGATTCTGCCGTTTGCAACCTCCCTCTGTCCACGGAGACGGGCGTTGGCATCCCTACACTGTCTCTTCCCTTGCTCTCCCTCCCCATTACCCCAGTGTGGCTTTGTGGTAATTTCTGGCTACACTGGTGTTTCTGTTATGTGGCAGTGGTGTGCTAGGCCCATGGCAGAGCCGCGCAGTCTGTTAGGCATGTGGTTCCTCTCATTCATTCACTCAGCCAGCATTTAAACAGAAGCGAGGTCCCGCACTCAGGTAGCGTGCCTGATCATGCAGGAGACAGACAACAGACAAGTGAACAGATGACGAGAGACAGGTGACGGTCAGTGCCAGGAGAAAAGCAGGGCATGGGGCATGGAAGGTGGGAAAGAACGGGTCGTCTTATTTACAGAGGCTGGGGATGGGGGGTTTCTCTGCATGGCTGTCTGGGGAAAGATGTTCCAGGAAAGAGGGGCAGGTGGAAAGGCCCTGAAGCACCATGGCCAGGGGAGTGTGTAACGAGGGAGCTGAGGAAAGGGAGGTGCTGGCTGGCCAGTTGAGGGGTTGGCAAACTTTTTTTTTTTAACTGAGACAGAGTTTGGCTCTTGTTGCCCAGGCTGGAGTGCAATGGCATGATCTTGGCCCACTGCAACCTCTGCCTCCCAGATTCAAGCGATTCTCCTGCCTAAGCCTCCCAAGTAGCTGGGATTTCAGGTGCCAGCCACCACACCTGACTTTTTTATATTTTTAGTAGAGATGGGGTTTTGCCATGTTGGCCAGTCTGGTCTTGAACTCCTGACCCCACGTGATCCGCCCACCTCAGCCTCCCAAAGTGTGGGGATTACAGGCATGAGCCACTGCACCCAGCCAGGCAAACTTGTTTTCATGCTTGCCAGATAGTAAATACTGTCAACTTTGTGCCCAACAGTCACACTGTTCTGTTTGCATTGACAGCTGTAGCTTATCTGTGAATGAATGCGTGTGACTGAGGTTCCAATAAAACTTCATTTGCACAATGGGCTGGGGCAGTGATATAGTTTGGCTCTGTGTCCCCACCCAAATTTCACCTTGAATTATAATGATCCCCACGTGTTGTGGGAGGGACCCGGTGGGAGGTAATTGAATCATGGGGGCAGATGTTTCCCATGCTGTTCTCTTGAGAGTGAGTAAGTCTCATGAGATCTGATAGTTTTATAAAGGGGAGTTCTCCTGCACACACTCCCTTGCCTGCCGCCATGTAAGATGTGCCTTTGCTCTTCCTTGAACTTCCGCCATGACTGTGAGGCCTCCCCAGCCATGTGGAACCATAAGTCCATTAAACCTATTTTTCTATATAAATTACCCAGTCTTGGGTATGTCTGTATCAGCAGTGTGGGAATGGACTAATACAGGTGGGGTAACAATTTGGCCCTGTGGCCATAGCTCATCCATGCGCTGGGTCATGCGGGCCTGTCAGGCACAGAACAGCTTTGTGTTTTCCTGGGGTAATAACTGGCTCTTTTTTAAAAAATGCTCACTTTTCCATGTACTCATGAGACTAAAACTCCTGACAGAACTGCAGGAGGCATCTTGATGCCTTTCCTGGGGACGATCCCTCTGGAAGCCTTGGCTCCCCTGCCCTGGTCTGCACAGGGTAGGTCTGTAGCTTGGAAATAATTTCCCATCAGAACTCTCAGGACATTGCTCTACTGCCTTCCAGGTTTCTGCACATTGTTCAGAAGTCTAATGCTGCTCCCATCCCCAGCCTGTCGCCTTCTCTCTGGAAGCTTTTATGGCTGTTTCTCAAGCTTAGTGTTTTGAAATTTCACCCAGAGCCTCCCTGAGAAAAGTCAGCAGCTTTCTTAGTTTGGAGACTTGTGCCCTTCAGTTCTGAGACAGCTTTTTTTTCCCCCCCCTTAGAGATGGGGTCTTGCTCTGTCACTCAGGCTGGAGTGCAGTGGTGCCATCTTGGCTCACTGCAGTCTGGACCGCCAGGGCTCAAGGATCCTCCCACCTCAGCCTCCCAAGTATGTGGGACCACAGGCACATGCCACCACGCCCAGACAAGTTTTTTAACTTTTTGTAGAGGTCCTGGTATTTTCCCCAGGGTGGTCGGGAACTTCTGGTCTCAAGCCGTCCTCCTGCCTTGGCCTCCCAAAGCGGTGGGATTATAGGTATGAGCCGCCATGCCCAGCCTCCAGTGATTATTTCTGTCTGCAGAACTTGCAACTTAGTTTTTAGGCTACGGTCACCTTCTGGGCCTGCCCCTGGGAGCCGCTGGTCACGAGTGAGGCCCCCAGCCAGGTACTTGTTTTTTGGGGGTTCAGGCACTGCTGGAACTCTGCTGAGCCCTGTTTTTCTCTGAGCTCACCAGCCAAGCTACCCCTTAGAAGTTTGCCTCGGAGCCCCCCCCCGCCCCGCCAGAATTCTCTGGGAGGTCTGGCAGGACTCACCTGTAAAAGGACCATTTCAGCAGGAACTGCCGGGCGGCCTTGGGGAAGCTGGGGCTGCCGGCATGCTGCTTCAGGACCTGGGTGACCACGCTGTCCAGCCAGCTGGCCCACTGGTCCAGGGAGCTCTGCTGCTGCAGGGTCAGCTTGAAATCCTGCTCCAGCCGCTGCACCACACTCTCCTCACACTGGCACACCCACGAGGCCTGCTCCTGTGGGGGGTGGAGGCCAGCGTCAGCAGCACAGACCCCCGCCACGGCAGCCCCCCGACCTAGCCGTGCTCGGGGCGGGACGTCATGCTGTGCTTGAGCCTTCTCGTCCTTGACCTTGACAGCTGCAAGCCACACCCTGTGTCCCCCATAACAGGGGCAGAATAGAGAGCCAAGGGGGATCCTACCCGGCTTCCGGGGACTCATACCCCGGTCTTTCTGGATCAAAGCTCATGCTATACGAGGTCTTCATTTCATTTTGTTTTAAAAGGGTGACTTCTAACTGTGTGTGTTGTGCATTTATTTACTTAATGGATACACCCAGGGCCTCAAATAAGCACAGCTCTGAATCTGCTGTGGGCCAGTACTTTGCCAAGCCCAGGGGACAGAGTCAGGAAAATGGCCACAGGGAGGTCAACATGCTGCCAGGATCCTGGAAACCAGGAGCCTTTGTGAGGAAAATGAGCAGGAGTGTTGGCCACAGCACCTGGACGCCAGAGGGCCCTGAGAGATGATGGAGTAGAGAGAGCTGGGGGCCGTGGGTGGGCTTTGGCCTGGGACCCGTGTCATGCAACAGAACTGTGACCAGGCTCGGGGCAGGGGGCCAGGTTTGCCATGGGCTCCACTTGGGGGGTTTGCTGGTTTTGCTGGAGGGCGGGAAGCCCAGGCCTGGGGGACGGCGTGGAGGAGGTCACCTGCACATTGGCAAAGTCCACGCGGTTGAGGTCGCTGAGCATCTGGTTGATCTGGGACGTGTTCTGCAGCACTGCCCGGGCCGCCTGCGCCAGGTGGTTGAGGGACGTGTAGCGCCGCAGCGTCTGGGCAAAGGCACTGACGACGCCCACCTGTAAGCCAGGGCTCGTGGTGAGCAGGGTTGGCGGGGAAGAGCCTGTTCCGCTGCACTCCTGGCAGGGGTGCCAGGGCTCAGGGACAACACAGGGAGCAGGGAGCAGGAAACAGCAACCTGGGCAGGGAAGAGGGAAGCCCCTGCTATTCTTAGGGACCCAGTGAGTGAGAATCAGTGAAGCGGAGACCTCGCAGGTGCATCGCACGCGTCGCTAGCCGAAGCCCGTGTCCCGCTGTTAGAATTCACAACCGGCACCATGCCCACTTCTAGAGTCCCTGCAGCTCTCTGGAGGGGCTGTTGAGACCACAGAGTCCTGGCTGCTATAGGGTCAGACTTTTAGTGGGTGTGGCCCGGGAATCTTATTTTTTTAAGAGATGGGGTCTTGCTTGTTGCCCAGGCTGGTCTCCAACTCTTGGCCTCAAATGATCCTCCTGTCTTGGGCTCCCAAAGTGCTGGGATTACAGGTGTGAACCACTGCACCGGCCCTGAATCTGAATTTTTAACAACGACTTGATCCATGCTTGCACCACTGCCTAACAGATCAGTTCCAAAGAGCAGGCGGGTGCCCTGCAGCTGCCTCCTTTCACCCAAGAGCCCTTCAAGAAATGCTCATGATGGCTGGGTGCGGTGGCTCACGCCTGTAATCCCAGCACTTTGGGAGGCCGAGGCAGGTGGATCACCTGAGGTCAGGAGTTCGAGACCAGCCTGGCCAGCATGGTGAAACCCTGTCTCTATTAAAAATACAAAAAAATTATCCAGGTGTGGTGGTGGGCACCTGTAATCCCAGCTATTCGGGAGGCCAAGGCAGGAGACTCGCTTGAACCTGGGAGACAGAGTGAGGCTCTGTCTCAAAAAAAAAAAAAAAAAAAAAGAAATGCTCATGAGAACGGTGGGTAATCACTCTCTTTTCCACAAGTCGGCCAAGGTTCTACATTTCAAATTCAATTGATTTGTGGCCAAGATTATAGCAATAAAAGTCACAGCAAGGAGATTAAATTTCCCTAATAAGATGAGCACAGAAACACACAATCTGTTCTGAATTGACTCAAAGATATGACATCAAATGACATCTTCTGTCGTTCCCCTTCCTGCCAGTACTGATGTGTCATCGGCTGTGTGCTCGGGGCTTCCTTAAGGGGCCAATTACTCTCATGACACAGGGACGAAGCCAGCGCTCTCCGGGACACAGTGGTCCTCATGCTGTCCTGGAGTGGAGCCCGTCCCAGCCATAGTTGGGGAGCCCAGGCCCCACCCCGGACATACCTTGGTCTGGATGACCTGTTGTGGGAAGTCGCTCATGGCATTTGTCAACCAGCCTTCCAAGCTCTTGGCAAAGTTACGGATGCCCTGTGTCAAGGTACCTGGGGGATACAGAGCATGATGTCACCAGGGGGAAAGGCAGTGACTGGACACTGGAAATCAGCATTCAGTGTAAGAGCTGGCCCAAGTGCGATGGCAATCACCACCACGAAGAACGAGCCACAGAGGCCGGGGGAACCGAGGACACTTAGACACGGGAAGAACCGGGCGTGGCCCAGCGCTGCTGGTCACCACCCACTGCCTGTGCGGGTCTCACAGGGGCAGTTCTCCCCAGGGACACTGGGTGGTGTCTGGGGTTGTGAACGGTCGTCATGCGGGGCGACTCAGGCATGGAGTGGGTGGAGACCACGGATGCTTCTCAGCACCTCGTAGTGCCCAGGATGGCCCCACCCCAGAGAACGATCCAGCCCCGGATATCAACAGTGCCAAGGGAGAGAGGCCTTGACACACACACACACACACACACACACACACACACGAATACATTCTACCAACTTCCTAATTTTTTAAAAAGTGGCTTAAAAAAAAAAACAAATAATAACTCTTTTAAAAAAAAAAAAAAAAAAAAAAAGGCTGGCGCGGTGGCTCACGCCTGTAATCCCAGCACTTTGGGAGGATGATGTGGGCGGATCACCTGAGGTCAGGAGTTCGAGACCAGCCTGGCCAATATGGTGAAACCCCATCTGTACTAAAAATACAAAAATTATCTGGGCGTGGTGGTGGGTGCCTGTAATCCCAGCTACTCAGGAGGCTGAGGCAGGAAAATCACTTGAACCCGGGAGGCGAAGACTGCAGTGAGCCAAGATCGCGCCACTGCACTCCAGCCTGAGTGATAAGAGCGAAACTCTGTCTAAAAAAAAGAAACAGAAAAAAAAACAGAAAAATATTTTAAAATGCAAAAGGAAAGATACCCCAAACTTCCACCATAACATAGAAACTCAAACAAGGCATTGCCCTGAACAGTTTTCAGGCAGACAGCAAGGCCAGGCCAAATGAGAAAGGTAATACTGCTGTTTCCCATCTTCCAGCAAAGGTTGCATAGAGTTTACTCAGCAGGACGGAGAGCTGCCTGGTACTAATGGGCTCAGATGTTTGTGGATGGCCTGCGGGGCACAGCCCGTGGTCCTGATGCTGTGATTTATGAAGAGAGGCCTCTGTACCCAGCTTCCTTGACGACTCCCAGGGTTTTGGGGAGCTTGGCACGGGCCTGGACTGAGGGCCCACTCATGGTGGATGCTGTCATTGCCTCGGGAACTGGAGGCCCTGGGAGGTCTCCAAGGGCACAAGTGAGCCCTGCCGTGGGCCTAGCTTCTTTCCTCGCTGTGCCCATCGCTCCCTCCCCACCCCCGCAAGTCCTGTGGGAAATCACAGGGCAGGGCACTGGGGTGTGTCTCCTGGAATCGTATGGTGCTAGGAAGTGGGGTCTGGCTGGGGGTTAAAGGTCAGCCCCTACCCTAACAGGCTGCAGGAGTCCAGGGTCACATCCCAACTGCTGCTTCTAAGTTTATGTCCCTGCCCCTCCTGTGGGGGTGGCACTCAGGAAGTGTCACTGTGGGGCTTCAGGGAGGCTGGAGGAAGGTGGCTGGTGGTCGTCTCTAAGACCAGGGTGGGCAGCAACCCCACATGGCCCTGGGCCAAGGCTTCCCGCACAGCGATGGCTCCAGGGCTGCGAGTAAGCTACTCCCAGAGGCCGGCCTGCACGCCCCCAGTGAACCTTCCAGAAAGCACCACGCCCAGCCCGGCTACTCTTGGCAGTGTCCTGACAGCAGGTAGAGCTCACCAGAGCCACTGTGACCTTCCCCTCGAGTCAGAGACAAGGACAGATACGCACGCCAGAGGACACACATTCCACGGCCCACAGCGGCTCTCGCTTAGGGATGTTTTTTGTTTGTTTGTTTGTTTGTTTGTTTTTGAGACAGGGTCTCACTCTGTTGCCCAGGCTGGAGTGCAGTGGTGCGATCATAGCTCATTGTAGCCTCGACCTCCTGGGCTCAGGTGATCCTCCTTCCTCAGCCTCCTGGGTTGCTGGGACTACAGGCATGCAACACCACACCCAGTTAATTTTTGTTTTTTTTTTAGAAACAGGGTCTCACTATGTTGCCCAGGCTGGTCTCAAGCTCCTGAGCTCAAGTGATCCTTCTGCTTCAGCCTCCAGAGTAGCTAGGGCTACAGGCACACACCACCATGCCCAGCTCATTTTTTTTTTTTTTTTTTGAGACAGAGTCAGGCTGAGTGCAGTGGCGTGATCTCGGCTCACTGCAACTTCTGCCTCCCGGGTTAAAGCTATTCTCCTGGCTCAGCCTCCCTAGTAGCTGGGACTACAGGCATGCACCACCATGCCCAGCTAAATCTTTGTATTTTTAGTAGAGATGAGGTTTCACCATGTTGGTCACACTGGTCTCAAACTCCTGACCTCAAATGATCCACCCGCCTCGACCTCCCAAAGTGCTGAGATTACAGACGTGAGCAACATTGCCTGGCCCCAGCTAATTTTTTTTTTTTTTTTTTTTGAGACGGAGTCTCGCTCTGTCACCCAGGCTGGAGTGCAGTGGCCGGATCTCAGCTCACTGCAAGCTCCGCCTCCCGGGTTTATGCCATTCTCCTGCCTCAGCCTCCCGAGTAGCTTGGACTACAGGCGCCCACCACCTCGCCCGGCTTATTTTTTGTATTTTTTAGTAGAGACGGGGTTTCACCGTGTTAGCCAGGATGGTCTCGATCTCCTGACCTCGTGATCCGCCCGTCTCGGCCCCCCCAAAGTGCTGGGATTACAGGCTTGAGCCACCGCGCCCGGCCTATTTTTTTTTTTTTAGAGATAGGGTCTCACTATGTTGCCCAGGCTGGTCTCAAACTCCTGGGCTCAAGCGATCTGTCTGCCTCATCCTCCCAAAGTGCGGGGGTCACTGGCATGAGCCACTGCGCCTGGCCCCTTTTGGGTTTTCTGTGAAAGCGATGGTCCGAGATGGCTGAAGATGTACAGGTAAGAAAGGACAGAGGAGGCAGGAAGAGAGGATGGAGCGGCGCCAGGTGGGGCCGTGGGTCACTTACTGGGGACCGGCCTCAGCACATCGGGGATGAGGATCTCCACCAGCGCCTGGTAGAGGATGTGGTCGCAGCTCCTCATCCATCTGAGGATGGGGTCGCATTGACACAGGGAGATCAGCTTGTCCTTGGGCAGGACGGCGCCCTCGGGGTCTTCGTCACTGTGGAGGGAGGGGGACAGGTGAGCAGTGGCCTGGCCCAGCTGGGCTCGTGCAGCCACGGGAGTGACCAGAGAGCCGGGCTGCGGGACTTCTGCCCAACAGTGGGGCTGGGGTTTTGCTCCCCATCCCTGAGGCTCAGTGGGTCCCCTCCCTCCGTGTTGCTCCCAGCGGTCCACGCTGTCCCTCCCCTGCCGGTGGTCATACTGTCATACTGCGTCTCACTGCAGCTATGGGTTGGGGTCACCTCTACTTGGGATTGCATCATGGTCACCTCTAAAATCCTCCCTACTCAGACAGTCTGACCTCGAAAAGGGGCAGATGGCAATGTGAATTTCAAGTCAGCTCTACCAAGTCTAAAAATCACAGGGACGGAGGCAGAGGGGTCTGAGCGCTAATTCTTGGAGAGTTGATGCTTTTGTTTGTGGGTTACCTGGGGACGTCAGCAGGGGGCTAAGACTTGAGGGGGGCTGTGAACCCAGCCAGGGTGTGGCAGTCACCTGGCAGGAAGAGAGGTGGGGCCGTCGCTGGAGGAGGCCTTGGAGTTCCAGAAGGAGAACCACAGCTTCTCGATGTAGTGGAACTGGAGGTTCATCACCACATCTACAGTTGCCTAGGAATGAAGGCACCGGTGAGACAGACGGGTGCGTGCGCCCATCACGTGCACTCAGCACACGTCAAGTGGGCAGCTGTGATCCGGGCTGCAGCGGGGTGCCCTGGAATCCCAAGGGAGGCCACAGAGAGGAGAGGAGCAGGCGATGGACATGGATGTGGAGGGGCTGCTGCTCCAGAGAGGATGCTTGTGGGGGGCTCGGGGCTCCGTCTCCTCAGCATCACCCAGGGACACTGGGGACCCTGGCCTGAGCGAGGGCAGTTCCCGGGAGGGACACACAGGAGCTGCCTGCCTGGGCTGGGGCGGTCACCTCGCAGTGCCGTCTGTACACCAGCTGCAGGGCCTTGACGTCGTGCAGTGTGACGCCATCCTGCAGCAGGACGCTGCCCAGGTCGGGCGCTGGGAACTCGGGGAAGACGTGGGAGACATCTGGGGGAGGAACACGGGAACATCAGAACTGGGGCTCTTAGGAAACCGCGGACAACTGGAAGGCCATGGGTGGATGGGGGGCCCAGAAACAGATGTTCTGCCCCACCCCATGCAGTCAGAGAATTTGTTTATTTCTTTTGTTTTTCTTTTTTGAGACAGGGCCTTGCTCTGTTGCCCAGGCTGGAGTGCAGTGGCACGATCTCAGCTCACTGCAACCTCCAGCTCCTGGGTTGAAGCGATTCTTCTGCCTCAACCTCCCGGGTAGCTGGGATTACAGGTGTGCGCCACAATGCCGGCTAAGTTTTGCATTTTTCAGTAGAGACAGGATTTCGCCATGTTTTGGCCAGGCTGGTCTCGAAATCCTCACCTCAGGTGATCCGCCCACCTCGGCCTCCCAAAGTGCTGGGATTACAGGCGTGAGCCACCAATGTTCTGCCCCACCCTATGCAGTCAGAGAATTTGTTTATTTCTTTGTTTTTCTTTTTGAGACAGGGCCTTGCTCTGTTGCCCAGGCTGGAGTGCAGTGGTAACATCTTCGGCTCACTGCAACCTCCAGCTCCTGGGTTGAAGCGATTCTTCTGCCTCAACCTCCCGGGTAGCTGGGATTACAGGTGTGCGCCACAATGCCGGCTAAGTTTTGCATTTTTCAGTAGAGACAGGATTTCGCATGTTTTGGCCAGGCTGGCCTCGAAATCCTCACCTTCAGGTGATCCGCCCACCTCGGCCTCCCAAAGTGCTGGGATTACAGGCGTGAGCCACCATGCCTGGCCTTTTTTTTTTTTTTTTTTTTTTTTTTTTTTTTGAGACAAAGTCTCACTCTGTCACCCAGGCTGGAGTGCAGTGGCATGATCTTGGCTTACTGCAACCTCCTCCTGGGTTCAGGTGATTCTCCCTGTCTCAGCTTTTGAGTATTGGGATTACAGGCGTGTGCCACCATGCCTGGCTAATTTTGAATTTTTTTGGTAGAGATGGGGTTTTGCCATGTTGGCCAAGTTGGTCTCAAACTCCCGACCTCACGTGATCTGACTGCTTCGGCTTCTCAAAGTGCTGGGATTATAGGCGTGAGCCACCGCGCCCGGCACAGTCAGGGAGTTTGTAAGCATCAGTTTTCTCAGGTAGAAAATGGAGAGAATATTACCACCTCCCAGGAGCATTAAATATGCAGCACAGAGAAAGCCCTGAGCCCGAGCCCCGGCACACAGCCAGTGCCCAGAGCCAGCTCAGGGCAGCACATCTCGGGGAGAAGGCCAGCCACAGTGTCCCTACAGTGATCTCCTGAAGATGGGCCTGACCCCACCTCAATCTCTGCAGGAGACTCAACCCAGGAGGATTCTGTTTGGGCTCAAAAAAGATCATAAACTACATGGAAGCCGCTGAGTGTGTACAGAGCCCGCTTGAATCACGACACTGATACCAGTGAGCCTTCCTTGGCCATCCCCCAACCCCCCGCCCTCCCTCATGGCAGGTTCTGAGTTAGGGCCTTCCTGGGGCAGAGATGGCACCACCACTAGGCCAGCTGGGGAAGAACGCTGTCCCCTGAGCAGCCCCCAGGGAGGAAGCCAAGACCACCTCATGTGGGGGAACCGGGAGCACCCCGAAAGCTCCAGGCAAGAAGGAGGAAAGCTTAGATGGCAGGCAAATCCTGGTGCACCCTGAGTAGAGAATACCTAGCACTCTTTCTTCCTTTTTTCTTTAACTTGAAAGGCAGAGTCTCGCTCTGTCACCCAGGTTGGAGAGGAGTGGTGTGATCACGGCTCACTGCAGCCTCGAACTTCTGGGCTCAAGTGATCTTCCTTTCTCAGCCTCCTGAATAGGTGGGACCACAGGAGCTTGCTGCTATGCCTGGCTAATTATTTATTTATTTTTTAGTATGTTGCCCAGGCTGGTCTTGAACTCCTGAGCTCAAGTGATCCTCCTGCCTTGGCCTCCCAAGGTGTTGGGATCACGGGCATGAGTCACCTGTCCTCTAGTGTTCTTCCTGATGGTCATTGGATTTTATTTTCTCATTTTTCTGATGGTCACTTTATATATTACCTTTTTTTTGGCATGTGCTGATTATTCTAAAGTCTCAGGGATGTCAAAAAGAAGGTCTATGGAGAACTTTCTATTTGACCAAAAAGGTGTCTCATAAGAAAACTGTCGGAAGCGGACGTTTAGACGCCACTGGTTCTGCTGGTGTTGAAACCCAGGAGTGTGGCGAGCCGATGGGAGCCCTGCCCTGGGGCCTGTCGGGGCCTCTCACCAATGTACTGCTGGTGGTGCTGGCTCTGCGCGGCCATGGTCTGTTCTGGAGTGCTGTGCAGGCTGCTGTGGGAGCCGCTGTCCCCAAGGCTGTCCGTCTTCTGGGCTGGCCGGTACCTAGGCCGGGAACACACATGCCACCGTGAGGCCCAGCAGCCCTACTGGGGGTGGGCCCAAGGAGTGGGGGGCTGGGCAGGATTCAGTCAGGCATGTGCGTGTATGATGTTTACAAGTTGCAGTCGAATACACACAACACAAAAGTTACCATCGGAACCATTTTGAGTGCACAGCTCAGCAGCATGAAGCACATTCACGTGGCTGTGCAACCGTTACGATCGTCATCTCCAGAACTTATTCATCTTCCCGCACTGAAGCTCTGTCCCCATGAAACACTCACTCCCCATCCCTGTCCCCAGCCCCTGGCACCCCCCACCTGACTTCCTGTCTCTGTGAATCTGACGACTCTAGGGACCTCCTAGGAGTGGGGTCATACAGGATTTGTCCTTTTGCAACTGGCCTGTCTCACTGAGCGTTGTGTCCTCAAGGTCCACCGAGTTGTAGCCTGTGTTGGAATTTCCTCCTCCTTGTTTTTTTTTTTTGAGACGGAGTCTTGATGCAGTGGTGTCATCTCTGCTCACTGCAAGCTCCGCCTCCTGGGTTCACGCCATTCTCCTGCCTCAGCCTCCCGATTAGCTGGGACTATAGGCACCCACCACCGTGTCCGGCTAATTTTTTGTATATTTAGTAGAGATGGGTTTTCACCGTGTTAGCCAGGATGGCCTTGATCTCCTGACCTCGTGATTCGCCTGCCTTGGCCTCCCAAAGTGCTGGGATTACAGGCCTGAGCCACCGTGCCCAGAATAGAATTTCCTCCTTTTTAAGGCTGAATAATATTCCATCATATGGATGAACCACAGTTTGTTAATGGACACTTGAGAAAATAGATATATATTTCCCCCTAACATTTCTCTCTCAGAAAAAAAGTGAAATTCTTGGCCGGGCACAGGGGCTCACGCCTGTAATCCCAGCAATTGGGGAGGCCGAGGCGGGTGGATCATCTGAGGTCGGGAGTTCGAGACCAGCCTGACCAACATGGAGAAACCCCATCTCTACTAAAAATACAAAATTAGCCGGGCGTGGTGGCGCTCGTCTGTAATCCCAGTGACTCAGGAGGCTGAGGCAGGAGAATCGCTTGAACCCGGGAGGCGGAGGTTGCAGTGAGCCAAGATCGCACCACTGCACTCCAGCCTGGGCAACAAAAGTAAAAGTCAGTCTCAAAAAAAAAAAAAAAGGGGAGGAATTCTTTGCTTGAATCACAAACATCTTATTATTGGCGCAACCTCAGAAGTTCTGAGACTTTCATTTTGAGCCAGACAGTGGTGGCCGCCTGCGCAGGCAGCGCTGAGAAACACTCGAGGAAGGTTTTCCAGGTGCTGGGCTCCTGGGAGGCCGCTGTGTGGTAGGGAGGGGGCTGGCCTGAGCCGGAGCATCTCTGGGGAGCCCCCCTCCTCAAATACAAAGCGGGGCCAGGCCTACAGGGAGGGGGGAGACCATGCCGGTGAGGTGTGTGTGAACCACCTGGCTCAGGGCAGGCTGTGGGCGTCACAGACACAGGCTCAGGCTGTGGCTTCCAAATGCAAATGGCATCAGCCTGTCGCCCTGAAATGTGTGTCGCTGCTCCTAAAATGACACACTGCCTGGAGCACAGGGTCACAGGTGTTCGCCAGGGGCCCAAACTGAACAACAGCAGCGAGCTCCAGAGTCCGTGTCTGCAGACGAGGTACAGAAGGAATACCCTGGAAACTCTCCTGGAACCTCCAACTCCTGGGAGTGGCTGTGGTCAGGAGTCACTGGCTGACTCAGAGCAGCTGGAATGGGTTTTCGAGATACACACATATATGGATGGATCTGTGCAGAGGGCCCAGCACCAGGTGTGAAGGTGCCATATGGGGCTACTGCAATGCGGCCCCGGCTCTCAGGGTGGGCACTTGTGGAGGCACACTAGGAGGCAGCAATATTTGAATGGGCTCTAAACCAGGGGCCAGCAAACTATGGCCTGAGGGCCCATTCTGCTACTTGTTTTTATAAATAAAGTTTTATTGGCACACAGCCATACCCATCATCTTCATGCCGTCTGTGGCTGTTTTCAGGATGATGCAGCCGAATTGAACAGTCACGACAGAGACTGTCTGGCCTGCAAGGCTAAGATATTTGCTGTCTGGCTCTTTACAGGAAAGGTTTGCTGAGCCCTGCCTTAGAAGATGAGAAAGTTTGTGATGGTTGGAGAAGAGGATATTCCAGAAAATGACCAGGGCTTTCCAGCCACTGGATCCAAAGGTCAAGAAGTCGTGACTTGAGCACATCTGCTGCTTTCTCCTGGCTTCTTGGGTTATTTGCAGAGTCCTCTCTCTCTTTACTTCCTCAGTTTTACAAATTAAGGGTCTATGATTCCAACTATAAGACACTGGGTAAGGGGAAAACGGTGAGAATGGTAAAGGATTAGCGGTTGCTACAGACGGGGGCACGGAGGGAAAGCTGGGTAGGCAAAATGTGGAGGATTTTTAGGGCTGTGAAAGGACTCTGTGTGACACTGTGATGGGGGCACATGTCATTATAGGTTTGTCCAAACTGTAGAATGTACAACACCAAGAGTGAGCCCTGATGTCGACTGTGGACTCTGGGGGGTGACGCTGGCTCCATGGAGGGTCATGGGTCGTAACCAGTGCACCGCTGTGTGGGGGAGGCGGATGGTGGGAAAGGCGGTGGGGAGCGGGGCTGGGGGTATAGAAGAACTCTCTGTACTTTCTACTCCATTTTGCTGTGAACCTAGAATGACTCTAAAGAATGAAGTCTGTTAAAAACAGTTTTAAATGGTCTAAACAAAAGTCTGAAAACAGTTAGCTGGAGGAGGCTGCATCCCGGCCTCCTGTGTCTCCTGCTAGACTCACCTCATTCTCAGCAGAGGGGGATACCTTGGCTTTCCCAGGATGCTGGAGATGAGGGAGTTATGATGAGTTCATTTCTTGTTGGAGAAACACCTCTCCCTCCATGCTCCAGGGGAAAGCCAGCCCCGCCCAGCTCGGCCCACGCACCCACCTGGGCTTCTGATGCATGGGCTGCTGCCGCATGGCCATGTACTGCGTGTCCTCCTGCAGCCGGTTCAGCGGAGAGTCTGGCTTCAGACGAATCCCGTAGTAATGGTACTTCGAGTTGCCCCTGGAAACCAAACATCCCAGGGTCAGCTCCCTTTGCCGATGTCCTGAACAACAAGATAGGTTGGGATTCTTTTTCTTTCTTACTTCTTTTTTTTCTTTTCTGAGACAGAATCTCACTCTGTCGCCCAGGCTGGAGTGCAGGGGTGCCATCTGAGCTCACTGCAATCTCTGCCTCCTGGGTTTAAGAGATTCTCCTGTCTCAGCCTCCCGAGTAGCTGGGATGACAGGTGTGGGCCATAATGCCTAGATAATTTTTGTATTTTTAGTGGAGACAGGGTTTTGCCATGTTGGCCAGGCTGGTCTCAAACTCCTGGGCTCAAGCGATCCTCCCACCTTGGTCTCCCAAAGTGCAGGGATTACAGGCGTGAGCCACCGCGCCTGGCCTCTTCTCTCTCTTTGTTTTTAGAGACAGGGTCTCACTCTGTCACCCGGGCTAGAGTGCAGTGGTGCAATCACCGCTCTCTGTAGCCTTGACCTCCTGAGCTCAAGTGATCCTCTTGCCTCAGCCTCTGAGTAGCTGGGACTGCTGGCGTGTGCCACCACACTCGGAAGGTAGGTACTGTTTTCTGGCCTTTCACTTTGGCCTCTCTGGTTCAGCATTTCCTGAACTGCGTGAGGAATGTGATGAAGGAATTCTGCACCTAATACCGTTGTCATGGAGAGCCCTCTCTCACAGGCTAGTATAATACAGGCTCGGACAAGTCCTGTGTGGAGAGCACCAGGTCAGCTTTGCTGAGCTCCACATGGCCTATCTCTATTATTATTACCATTATTATTATTATTAACAGCTCTTCCCCATCCCTTTCAGTCATCTAGTAACACATTTTGGAAAAAGGCACAGTTTGGGAACTATTACATTAGTTTATTACAGGAGAATGATGATCAGAGGGCTTTAAACAATTGAGCTCAGAAAACGGCTCACAGTGTCCTTACAGGAGAGCAGCACTAACCTGCAGGCATGGCTGTGGAGATACCAGCTCACAGGATGCCGTTTCTCCAGAGCTGGCAACAAGGACACGCAGGAAGCCCCTGGGCCCTCTTTTTATTTCTTTTCCTTTTATTACTATATTTTTGAGACAGAGCCTCACTCTGTTGCCCAGGCTGGAGTGCAGTCGTGCGATCTCGGCTCACTGCAACCTCCCCCTCCCAGGTTCAAGAAATTCTCCACTTTGGGAGGCCGAGATGGGCGGATCATGAGGTCAGGAGATCGAGACCATCCTGGCTAACACAGTGAAACCCTGTCTCTACTAAAAAATACAAAAAACTAGCTGGGCAAGGTGGCGGGCACCTATAGTACCAGCTACTCAGGAGACTGAGGCAAGACAATGGCATAAACCCGGGAGGCGGAGCTTGCAGTGAGCTGAGATCCGGCCACTGCACTCCAGCCTGGGCGACAGAGCAAGACTCTGTCTCAAAAACAAAAGCAAAAAACAATAAATGGTAAATCCAGCTTTGCTGGATAAACCAGAGGCTACATTTTGTTTGTCTGTTTGTTTGTTTGACACAGGGTCTTGCTCTGTTGCCCAGGTTGGAGTGCAGTGGTGCAATCGTGGCTCACCGCAGCCTCAACCTCCTGGGCTCAAGTGCTTCTCCCCTCTCAGCTTCCCAAATAGGTGAAAGTACAGGTGTGCAAATAGGTGTGCACCACTATGCCTGGCTAATTTTTAATTTTTTTGTAGAGATGAGGTCTTGCTATGTTGCCCAGGCTGGTCTTGAACTCCTAGTCTCAAGTGATCCTCTTGCCTCGGCCTCCTAAACTGTTGGGATTTCAGGCGTGCACCACGACACCTGGTCCAGAGGCTGCTCTAAACAAACAAACAAACAAATGTATTGTTTGGGAAATTTCAAAAGGAGAGAGAAAACCAGTTTCTCTCTCTGGAGGTTAGTGCTGCAGGTTAGTGCTGCTCTCCTGTAAGGACACTGTGAGCCGTTTTCTGAGCTCAATTGTTTAAAGCCCTCTGATCATCATTCTCCTGTAATAAACTAATGTAATAGTTCCCAAACTGTCCCATCACCGGCTTCTAAAGCCGACGCCGCGGGCTACGCCCGGCCACAGCCAAGGCTGCCGCCAATTGAAAGTAACTGCAAGCACTCCAGAGGTGGCTGCAAATCAGGCCACCTGGACAGGAGGCGGAAGCCTGGCATTTTCCCAAAAGCTCTATTTCTTGGGAAAGGAAGAGGAAGGACAGGTCGGCTGGGGGTCGTCTACCCACCTAGTGCCCAGCCGCCGTGTCCTCAGCCCCATAAACACAGAACGGATCAGTTTCCCGAAGGAGGCAGCGTTCACCGGGTCCAGCTTGTGCTCCTGGCAGTGCCGAAGGTAGTGGTTGTAAAGAGAACTTCTGGGGAGACTCACACCTTCTGCAGTTTCATAATTATCCAACAGCCACTGGAGCTGCGAAGAGACAGACACGCCTGCGTTTGTCAGAAGCCTGAGGAACGCTAACATGCCAACGTGGACTCGTTAAGAGAATTACTTGCGTTCCCTGTATCACCAAACGGGATGAGGAAATCCATCTTTTCTTTCTTTTTGAGGCAGAGTCTTGCTCTGTCACCCAGGCTGGAGTGCAGTGGCGCAGTCTCGGCTCACTGCAGCCTCTGTCTGCTGGGTTCAAGCAATTTTCCTGCCTCAGCCTCCCAAGTAGCTGGGATTACAGGCGCCCAACACCACACCTGGCTAATTTTTGTTATTTTTAGTAGAGATGGGGTTTCACCGTGTTGCCCAGGCTGGTCCCAAACTCCTGACCTCAGGTGATTGGCCTGTCTCAGCCTCCCAAGGTGCTGGGATTACAGGCGTGAGCCACTGTGCCCGGCCGGAAATCCATCTTTGTGGTCGCTGATTTGAATTCTCTAAGTAGATTAATGAATAGCTCATTTTCTTTCATTTATTGATTCTTCCATGTTTAGCCTGGTTTTCCGTTTCCCGGACTTAATTTGTAAAAATCTGGGTGTGATCAAGAACTACTAGGTTCTGTCTTCAGAATGCCCACACACCACCACACAGGGTTTAAACACCAAATAGCTCCTCAACATACAGGAATGGAGAGAAATTCTGATGCTAAACAGGAAGATTGAAGATGACTTGGGGGACCGCACAGTTCCGTGTTTTGTAGTAAGCAGTGAGCTAACATGTACTGAGATCCCTCATTGAGGGAGGTACAAATGGAAATTCAATAAAATACACAAATGCTTATATGCACGGTTTTGTGTCCGAGTCAAAAGGCAGGACATAGCTACTTGGGAGGCGGAGGTGGGAGGATTGCTTGAGCCCAGGACGTCGATACTGCAGTGATGCTAGGGTCACGCCACTGTACTCCAGCCTGGGCGACAGAGCAAGACTTTGTCTCTTTCAAAAAACAAAACAAAAAGATGGGCTAAATGAGTCTAGAGCCAAGAACTATGCCTCGAGAGGTTAACATCCAGTTAGAAGGGCAAGAACTGTCCACAGGAAGAGCTCAGTCCCCACACTGGGCTTCGACGCAAAGGTGTCCCACCCACCAACTGATGCCCTGAGCCAAGTACCTTAAAGGCTGCGGCTTAATTCTGGTTTCCACCTCTCCCTCTGTTATTGTCTGTCCCCTGATCCAGAGAGGTTTGCTATGTGAATACAAAAGGCTTCACTGATGCCTGCGATTTGGAGAAAGACAGGAATTCCACGCACAGAAGCGAGGCCCGAGTCCAGATCCCACATCAAGAGCGTGGGGGGAAACCGGCTGTCCCCACCTGGTCCACTTTGTGCGAGGCTGTCGGCAGCTTTGTCTAGGCTGAGCCCTGCTCCCAGAGCTTTGAAGGGCTCCTGTTGCCTGGGCCCTTCCGAGTGGGCAGTGCTGGGTCCTCAGCCCTCCCGCACCGGGCATGTTGGGTTCCTGCACAGCCCTTGGCCTGGGAAGCCCTTGTCCCTGTGCCCCACACACCCCACAAGACACAAAGCAGGCCTGTCCCCTGGGAAATATCTGTCCACTCACCACAGCACCCTCCCCCACACTATCACGTTTGCCGTCTGTTTGCCCCCGCTCCCCCACACTCAGCATTGCAAGCTGGGGAGGAAGTAAGCGTGCATCTCCTTTTTATTATTTATTTATTTATTGAGATGGAGTCTCACTCTGTCACCCAGGCTGGAGTGCACTGGCGCAATCTTGGCTCACTGCAACCTCCACTTCCCGGCTTCAAGCGATTCTCCTGCCTCAGCCTCCCAAATAGCTGGCATTATAGACATGAGCCACCAAGTCTGGCTTATGTTTTTTGTATTTTTAGTAGAGATGGGATTTTGCCATGTTGGCCTCAAATTCCTGACCTCAGATGGTCCACCTGTCTTGGCCTCCCAAAGTGCTGGGATTACAGACGTGAGCCACTGCACCCGGGCTTCATCTCCTTTTTATGAAATAGTGCTATGGGGTGGTTTTGACTAGCCCTGCAACAACGACCAGCACCTCGGGACCCCTCTTATCTCATCTAAGACCCACCTGATCCAGTGTGTCCTGACCCCTCCAGCCCTAACAGGGGCTGACCCAGGGTCACAGTGGAGTGAGGACTTGCCCTGGGTTCTGGAATATTTCACAGGATGACAAACAGGTCAAAGGTTGAGGTGAAGGGGTGTGTGGGGCCTGAGCACGGCGGTCTTGTAAGCCGAATCGCAGGTGCGCTGTGGGGCTGAGTCCATTTTAGAAAGGGGGAGGGCGGCTGGAGTTCAGGGTAGAGATTGGGACCAGATGTGTTACCCTGGAACCAAAGAGCTGAGGACAAAACCTCCAGAGGGGTGGGAAGAGTCACCTGGCAGGGGCACTGCCCACGCGGGTGTTGAGGATGAAGAGGAGCAAAGCCTAAGTCTTGAAGTGCGGGTCCAACCTCACGTGCTGCCTCTGGGGCAAGCCAGGAGGCCTTCAGACCTCCTGACCACAAGCTCCCCTCCAGCTCTGCTCCTGCAGTAAGTCCTGTGGCCAAACATCCCTCCTTACCAAGGGCACAGGAGTGGTTCCTGCCACAACCCCTGAGCTTGGATTCCGGTTTCCTGGCAGCCCCTGAATCACTCATGTAGCCTATCACCTCCTCCGCGGCACCAGGGGCCCCTCGCCCTCTTGCTACCACAAAGTCTGCCTCCTGCCGCCTGCAGGGCCCTGTGTGAAGTGCAGGGTCCACCCTGGCCATGAGTGCAGGTGATGGATTAGCAGTTGCCAATTTCATCTGTCCGGTGTTGGGTGCCATGTGCTTGGCTGTGCCCATCACCACCGGGAGGGACCCCTGCCCTCTTGTCCTTTGAATCAGGGAGAGTTAAAACAAAGGACCCTGAGAAGGGCCCCGGAGTGGAGACTTCATCTCTTTCTCACTTGCCTCTTTGGGAAAAGGACATCAGAGTTTTCACTTTCCATCGAGTCATTCACAACATTCATCTTCCAGCTTTCTGGACTGGACTTTTTCTGATACAATGGAGGCTGTGTTACTTTTTTCCCTTTTTCTCCTCCAAAGTCCGGCTCTGGCAGAGTGCTTGGACCCTTAAGAGTCTTCCTCGTATTTAATGCTATGAATACTATGAACCACAACCTTGGTGTTGAAGTTAGCGTATGAGTGTATATATATGTATATACTTTTTTTTTAAGAGACAGGGATATATATACATTTTTAGAGACAGGGTCTTGCCCTGTCACCCCAGGCTGGAGCACAGTGGTGCAATCATAGCTCACTGCAGCCTCCAACTCCCAGGCGCAAGTAATCCCCTTGCCTCAGCTTCCCGAAGTGTTGGGATGACAGTCGGGAGCCGCAGTGTGGGCCCTGAAGCTTTTCTTCACAGTGCCTTCACTGTCCGGATTTGTCATGTGTGCTTGTCGCCTGTTCCCCGGAGCATGCTCTTCCTGAGCGTGGAGATGGAGCCAGGTGTGCACATTCACCTGTTCCCCGGAGCGTGCTCTTCCTGAGGTGTGCACATTCACCTGTTCCCCGGAGCGTGCTCTTCCTGAGCGTGGAGATGGAGCCAGGTGTGCACATTCACCTGTTCCCCGGAGCGTGCTCTTCCTGAGGGAGGAGAAGGAGCCAGGTGTACACATTCACCTGTTCCCCGGAGTGCGCTCTTCCTGAGGGTGGAGATGGAACCAACTTTGCCCATGTGGGCATCAGCAGGACCCTGGAGATGTCTCAAGCCTGGCAGCAGAGAAAGACTGTCCGAGGAGGTAGGTGGGGAGCAAACAGAGGGTGTCTGGGTGAAGAAGCCAGAGGCTTCCCTTGGTCATTCTTAGGCTGGGGCCACAGATGCCACTTCTTAGATTGTCCTCCACGGGCAGCAGGAGCCAGGGCCAGTGGCCCCACATCTCAAGGAGACAAATGACGATGCAGATTTTGAGGCTAAAAGTGTGAGGCCAGATTTTGTGGGCGGTGAGCTGGAAGGAGCACTGGACTAGGAGTCCTGAGAGGTTAGAGTCTAAGACTCCATCCACCAGGAGGACATACTGGCTCACACATAAAAAGAAAGTTTTGGAACAGATGATCCTTCTGCTGTTTACCCCCGACCCCCCATGCTATTTAAGAGTAGAATCCTTTGCTCAGGTAATTATGTTGGCATTGACACTAAAAGGATGCATAGTTGTCTTGACAACAAGTCCTTCTTGCTCAACATCAAGAAGCCACAGAGAAGACTGGCATGGCTGGAAGAGTCAGGTCCACTTCCTCCCCCTTCTGCACCAGCGAACTTCCGGGAGGGGAACTGGGTTAGAACTGAAGTGTGATGGGCTTGCAGACTCTGTTCAGGGTCTACGCCTCACTAGCAGGCTGGGAGCCACTTATGCACAGGGCCTTCCCATCCCTCAGTGCCGGAGCCCACACCCAGCGGCGCGTCAGACCGGGGCGAGCGTCACAGGTCAGTTCCGTGAAACCGACCATGAGGGTCTGGCGCTCCAACCACACCTCGCCCACCTCCCCTGCTCTTGAGGGCTCGGGTACCTTCATGCCAGGAAAGGCGGCAGCTGGACAGAGTCACCTTTCCGGTTTGGGCATGTTCTGCAGTCTGCTTTGTCTGCTGATATTTGCACTCTTTCTGTGTCAATATCAAACACAAATAAGCGGAATGCTTTCCAAGGAAATGTACAGTGTATCCACATTTGCCGCAATCTGTCAGGACGGCACACTTTTGATGAAATGGATCAAATGCTTCCTTTTAAGGAATAAAAATCCCGAAATGCCAGTGCCTCCCTCTCCCTGGCGCCTGGAAGATCGGCTGCCCCTGCCTGAGATGGGACGGCGGGCGGGAGGCGCAGGGGTTGTGGGAGGCACAGGGGTTGTTGAGGGTGGAGGCCATGCACTGAGCTAAGATGCTAATCCAAGGCAGGCAGGAATACCGAGGGAAAACAGCGGCACTTCTGGACAGAGGCCCCTTCTGAGGAGCTGCCGGCTCTAGCAACCCCACCATGGCCTGCAGGACAGCATGGCCATGGCGCCAGGCTACATAGGTCACCAGCTGAAGGCTAAATGACCTTTGACAATGTGTGTTTCTTGATTTCAAAGCAAGAAGTCACATAACCCTAATATGACTCTTCCACACCCAGCTCTCTCCCGCAGGCTGCATGAGTGATGCGTTTATTTTAGTAGACAGCGCCATCTCGTGGTGACAGAGACTCAGTGAACCTGCTGCGGGGTCTGGGTCGGCTGGTAGCCTGAAGGCAGCCTGGTGCCCGCTAGGGGCTGAGGCCGCCTCTTCTGCTCATGGCGGCGGCCTGCCATACCCAGTCGGGTGAAGATATATTTCATCCCCAGCCCCAGCTCCGTCCCCTTCCCTCTGGAAGGGCTAATCCCCATTTTCATGGCACCATATCCTGCCCTTTCCCAGTTTGGACACTGCTGGGGGCCTCCTCCTCCCTGCGGGTTTCCACGCCAGGCTGACCATCAGCTTACTGGAAGGTTCTTCCAACGTGCAGACCTCCAGGCCCTGCAGACCGCCTGGGTCCAAGCCCCTAGAGGGGAGGCCTGGGAAGCTCCTGTTGACCAGGCTCCCGGCATCTGAATACCCCCTCCCTCCTGAGACAGCGCAGAGGAGGGAACCAGCTCCGCGGAACCCGTGGCCAGCTCCACTCAGAAATGTCTAGGGGTGGGCTCCCTGGGTGGGTTTTCCCACATCTTCCACCTTCTGCCCTCAAATGCTAAGCTCCCTGGAGTGACTTTTTCCTCCTTTTTCACTCCCTATGTTCGGCACTGACCTGGCCAGAACCCTGCACACGGTAGACGGACGGTAGACGGTCGGCTGACGTCACCAGTTGGCACCAGGGAAGAGGCACACAGGCCCTGCCACTGGGGGGACCCTCCCTGGGGCTGTCCGAGAAGGGAGGTCTGGGAGGCCACTCAGTCCCAGCCACAGGCAGCCCTGGGGACAGCCGTTGCGAGGGTGTGTCGCCCCGTCCACCAGCAGATCACGTGTTTTAACTCCTCCCTTCATCTCTGGCTCTCACATTTGCCAAAGCAAGATCTAGGTTTGTTCTACTCATGTGTGTGGTGAACTCTGTAGAAAGATCTTATTTTACTTCCTTGGTTTCAAGTCACCAAGCCCCAAATCTTACTGATCACAGCTCAGGATGGAAGGAAACAACTCAACAGCGAATCATCAGTGAGAAAAAGAAACGTGAGATTTTACCTGCTGGAAAAGTCAGCTCGGGAATGTGAATCTGTGGGGAAGCGACCTGAGAAAGTCTGCCTTTCGGATGAAGTGTTAGAAAGCAGGAAGGATCCCAGCAGCCAGAGACAAGCGGTTCATGCATTTTCCCATAGACATTTTTTCTTTCTTTGAGACGGAGTCTCGCTATATCTCCCAGGCTGGAGTGCAGTGGTGCGATCTCAGCTCACTGAAACCTCTGCCTCCCGGGTTCAAGCTATCCTCCTGTCTCAGCCTCCGGAGTAGCTGGGACTATAGGCATGTGCCACCTCACCTGGCTAATATTTGTGTTTTTGGTAGAGACGGGGTTTTGCCACATTGATCAGGCTGGTCTTGAACTCCTGACCTCAAGTGGTCCGCCCGCCTTGGCCTCCCAAAGTGCTGGGATCACAGGCGTGAGCCACCACACCCAGCCCATTTTCCCACAGACATTTTAACTCTCCTGTGGACACGCTGCCTGCCCAGGCTCTGCAACCCCATCTTGCCTGGATCACACAGCCCTCTTGCCCGGAGCTGAGACCCTGGGCCCACATGAGTTTGTGTTCAGGCTGAAGATGGCCTGGCCCTTGCTGAATGGGGAATGTCTTTCTGCACACTTTCCCATATGTATGTGCTCTGAGTTTAAGACTCGAGGCCGGGGAGATCCTCTTTCCAAGCACGTGGGGAAGACTCTCTTCTCCCTGAGTTCATCTACAGGGAGGACGTCATCTAGCAGTGACACATGACGGGATGACCATGTCCTACGCAGCCTGGAGGGGAGCGGGGCACTGAGCAGGGGTCCGGCATGGTGTTTGTTTTGTTTTGTCTTTTTTGCTTCAAGACAATTGGCAGAAGGAGATATTTCTGTCATTTCTTCTAGCGACCAGCCCCCTGAGGCAGAGGGCAGAGGGCAGAGGCCTCGCCAAGGGCTGCGGTGAGCAGGTGACCACACCTGTGCCTAACCCAGAAGCCCAGGTTTCCGGACTGTCCTGTGTCACTTTCCACCCCCAGAATCTCTCACTGCGTTTTGAGTAAATGCCTCATTTTACACATTGGCCAGCACAGAAGTCAGGACGGGATCACAGTGAGGACGGGACTCAGGATGGGATCACAGTGAGGGCGGGAGTCAGGACGGGATCACAGTGAGGGCGGGAGTCAGGACGGGATCACAGTGAGGGCGGGAGTCAGGATGGGATCACAGTGAGGGTGGGACTCAGGATGGGATCACAGTGAGGGCGGGAGTCAGGATGGGATCACAGTGAGGACTGGGGTCCACTGAAGGGAACTTCTCTGATATCTGAATTCTCAAGAGAACATCAGATCCCAATTGAAGTGCTGGAGAGCACAATGGCTAGAAGGACATTCTGACTTCAATGGCTCGTCCCAGGTTTCAGATGCCAAAGACATTTCCAGCTATGTGCAAAGCTGAATCGAGAGCGTTTGGGGAGAAGTGAAAGCGATGAGTCTGAGGGGGCTAGAGCTTTCCTTCTCTGTTGTTCCTGGAAATAAAGACGGAGCCGGCCACGTCCCCCAGTCCCACCCTGCTACGGAGCTCTGCAGAGCTGAGATGCCCCCAACCTCCCGTCATGGGGCCTGTGATCATGGTCTTCTCCCAAGAGACAAGGGGAGGAGAAAAATCCTAGACACTAAAATCTGTACGAATTAGCTGCTTTATGCTTTTCTCCAATTACTGTTTCTTTCCAAGAGAGAACTCCAGGAAAATTCGCTAAGAGTCTAAGGCATTCCCAACCCTATGTCGTTTTCTCTCTTCTTTGTTGCTGTTGCTGATTTTTGCATTGTTTTTATTTTTCATACATAACTATACTGCTTATCACCTGCCAGGTATTGTTGAAAGTATTTTATGTACATTAAATAATTTACTCTCTATGACAACCCAAGGAGGCAGGTGTTGTTATTATCTACCTTTTACAAATAAAGAACCTGTTTTGATTTCTCCTTCATTGCTGAAGGGCGCATTTTTTGCTGGATGTAGGATGCTAGATTGGCTTCCCCCTCAACCACCTTTCACAAAGGGCACTTGAAAGGGGGCATTTTATTGTCTTTGTTTTTTTTTTTTTTTTGTTTTTTTTTTTTAAGACGGAGTCTCGCTCTATTGCCCAGGCTGGAGTGCAGTGGCGCGATCTTGGCTCACTGCAAACTCTGCCTCCCAGGTTCACGCCCTTCTCCTGCCTCAGCCTCCCAAGTAGCTGGGACTACAAGCGTCTGCCACCACGCTCGGCTAATTTTTTTGTATTTTTAGTAGAGACGGGGTTTCACCGTGTTGGCCAGGATGGTCTGGATCTCCTGACCTCGTGATCCACCTACCTCGGCCTCCTAAAGTGCTGGGATTACAGGCATGAGCCACCACACCCAGCAATTTTTTTTTTTTTTTTTTTTTTTGAGATGGAGTCTCACTCTGTCCCTCAGGCTGGAGTGCAGTGGTGCAATCTTAGCTCACTGCAACCTCTGCCTCCCGGGTTCAAGCAATTCTCCTGCCTCAGCCTCCCAAGTAGCCGGGATTATAGGCACCCAGCATCACACCGAGCTAATTTTTGTATTTTTAGTAGAGATGGGGTTTCACCATGTTGGCCAGGCTGGTCTTGAACTCCTGACCTCAAGTGATCCACCCGCCTCTGCCTCCCAAAGTGCTGGGGTTACAGGTGTGAGCCACCGCACCCGGTTGCCTTTGTTTGTTTTAAAAATGTCTATGCAGGTTACAAGCAGAGCAGGGACAGGTTGCCAGGTCAGACACACACTTACATGGCTGTTGAGTAAACCGCTTTTGTGTGATGTGATTCCTTCGCTTTTTTGGAGGTTTTCAATCGCCATTTCAAGCTAAAGAAAATGTGTGCAGAAACAAAACAAAACAAAATGAAAAAAAAAAAAAGGAAATCAGATGGTTAGCATCAGCCAAGATTTGTTTTTATTAATATCCAAATAATGATTCGAGCTCCTACAAAATAAAAAGGAGGCTCCACGCAGGCAGGGCGGTGGCGGTGAGTTAAATTGTGCGTGAAAGCTGAGGCAGGGAGTATTGCTTCGCACACGTAGATAAGCCCGAGAGCCTGTCTGACAGAAGCAGCAGCAATCGTGTGGTAAAAACTTGCTACTGAATTTTAACCCGGCATATGTGTGTGCACATCGTAACATTAATATGCAGCTGCTGCATCCATTCCAGTGTCCGCCAAGCCCGCCTCATAGTCACCTGCTCCTCTCCCCACGCCACATCGATGGGGAACCAGAATGAAAGAAAGCAACGGCAGATGGCAGCCTTGACTCCCCAGCCAGGCTGTCTTGTTGCAAAGCCCAGGGTCTCCCCGCTGCTACCAATGAGGCCAAAGACTCAGACCCTGCCACCAGGAGGCCACAGGATCCAGGACCACTGGACACTCTCTGGCGAGTTATTTATCTAGTGGGAGCTGTGCGAAGAAGGTTTTTGGAAAAGAGAAAAGAGTTTTGGAAGAAAGAGTTGGGGAGCTAACGGTAGAAATTCCTGGAGGAGGGATTCCTGAGTTGGATCCTGAAGGACCTGATGGAGGTGGGGAGGGAGGCAGGTGGAAGGTCCATGCAAAGGAGGTGGCACCCAGATGTGCGTGGCCGCCAAGGCATTCCCACGCATTTGGTCTGTCCTAGACTCGCACACGGAAAACGGCGATGTAAAATCTGCTGCAGCCCACCGCGACCACCAGAGGACTGAAGTGGAAGGAAATGAACCTGAAGTATATGCTTCCTTTCCTAAAACACCCAGCGAGGCCAAAGACTTGACAGTTCTGCAAACAGCAGGTTGAGTGTGTATTTCCGAGAGCAGGCTCGCGGAGCTGAGTTCAAGAGCGAGAGGCTAACTGCTTCTCCCACGGCCTCTGACCACTGTGGTTCTGCCTCCTCTCATTAGCGACCCTTGCTTCAAGCCAAGGAGGACGTCAGGGTCGCCTTTAAGAAGTGCAGAAGGTACAGTGGAGGACCAGGGGAAAGTAGGATGGTGAGCCCTCCCCCACCCATCGGCCTCAGGGCGCAGACGATGAGAAGGCAGTCGCCACCTCTATGATAGAAAGAAAAAAGGCACATGCCACCCTCATGTCTTGGGGCCATTCTGATTTGCAGCTTGGGCAGCCAGGTGAGTACCGCTCGGTGACACCTTCCCTGTGGGACACCACTGACCTGTGGGTGCTGGGAGAGCAGAGTGCATGACCTCTGGAAGTCTGCCCTAATCTCAGGGGGCCTTGTCCAGTGCCCAGCAGACTGGGAAGGAGACGAAAACATTGTCTCTCCAACATAGTGGGTCTCAATCATTTGGTCTATTAAAAAATACACTCTTACAACATTTTGAGATTTCGCTGCCTCCCCTGAAAAAGGGCTTTTTTTTTTTTTTTTTTTTTTTCCTTTCCTTGAGACAGACTCTTGCGCTGTTTCCCAGCTGGAGTGCAATGATGTGATCTCAGCTCACTGCCACCTCTGCCTCCCAGGCTCCAGTGATTCTCATGCCTCAGCTTCCCAAGTAGCTGGGGTTACAGGCGTGTACCACCACACCCAGCTAATTTCTGTATTTTTTGGTAGACATGGGGTTTCTCTATGTTGGCCAAGCTGGTCTTGAACTCCTGGCCTCAACTGAACCACTCGCCTCGGCCTCCCAAAGTTCTGAGATTACGGGTATGAGCTACCATACACCGCCTGCTTTTATTTTTAAAAGTTAAATCTATTATTTCCCTTATTAGAAATCAAAATAGATAATTTTTAAAAAGATATATTAATTCATTAAAAAATAATAAACCCATTTGATAGGTTAACACTTAAAGAATAGGTACACTTTTCAAATTTAAAAAAAAACAACCCAAGATGAGAAGAGCGGAATGATTCTGCGTCTTCACAAGTCTGTGGAGTGTGTGGCTTACAGAAGACAGCTCTGCACATCTGCTTCTGGATCTCCGTCTATCATTGTATACTGTTTTAGCTGAAGTATATTGAAAAAACTTGGCCTCACACAGATATATACTTGGAAAAGGAGCACCGTTTTAATAGCCTTTTCAGATAATTGTGGATATTTTTACTTGATACTATAGCAACACTTGACAACTGGTAATTTCTTAAAGGTTAGCTGCAATGTGGAATCTGAAACCATATCAACGAGCTTTTCATACTCAGTAACATTGAAATCCATTAATCTTGAACTGACATCCATGACAATGACAGAGTAAGGAACTCCAAAACCCATCCCTTCACAAAAGCAGTGAAAACATGGGCAGATTATGGTAAACAGGTGAAACCTTAATCAAGAAAAAAAAAAGATAAAACTTGGCATTTAAGGAAATCTCCATCAAATCACTAGTTGACCACTAAGGTAACCGAATAGAGATTTTGGCCGGGTGTGGGGGCTCACGCCTGTAATCCCAGCACTTTGGGAGGCTGAGGCACGTGGATTGCTTGAGGCCAGGAGTTCACGACCAGCCTGGCTAACATGATGAAACTCTGTCTCTACTAAAAAATATGAAGAAAAATTAGGTGGGTGTGGTGGCACACACCTGTAATCCCAGCTACTGGGGAGGCTGAGGCAGGAGGATCGCTTGAACCCAGGAAGTGGAGATTGCAGTGAGCCAAGATCACACCACTGCACTCCAGCCTGGGCAACAAAGCGAGACAGTCTAAAAAAAAAAAAAAAAGCAGATTTTACAAAATTAGTTCAGAAAGGTCATGAAACAATCAACAACACCTATAAGCAGCAACAGCAAACTGTGGGGAGAACAGAAGAATCCGATATTCAGAGTCACCATGTTATACTATTCAAAATATCCACTTTTCCACAAAAATTATGAGGCATGCAAGAAAACAAGAAAGTATGGCCCATATGTAGAAATAAATAAATAGGACCGTCCCTGAGAAAATCTAGCCTTTGGACTTATGAAACAAAGAGTTTAAATCAACTATATAAAATATACTTAAAGAGTTAAAGGAAATCATGTACAAAGCACTATAAAAAACCATGACAGGCGGGCGTGGTGGCTCACACCTGTAATCCCAGCACTTTGGGAGGGTGAACTGGGTGGATCACTTGAAGTCAGGAGTTCAGGGACCAGCCTGGCCAACATGGTGAAACCCTGTCTCTACTAAAATTACAAAAATTAGCTAGGCATGGTGGTAGGCATCTGTAATTCCAGTTACTTGAAAGGCTGAGGCCTGAGAATTGCTTGAGCCCAGGAGGCAGGGTTTGTGGTGAGCTGAGATCACACCACTGCACTCCAACCTGGGTGACAGAGTGAGATTCCATATCAAAACAGAAACAGAAACAAAAACGAAACAACAACAACACAAAAAAATACACATGAGAGTGATGTTTCACTGGTAGAGAATATCAACAAGGAGATAGAAATTGTAAAAAGGAACCAAATAAAATTTCTGGAGTTTAAAGTATAACAGCTCGAATGAAAAATTCAACAGCAGATTTGAGTAAGCAGAAGAAAGAATCAGGGAACGTGAAGATAGGTCAATTGAGATTACCCAGTCTGAGGAGTGGAAAGAAAAAAAGAAAAATGAGCTGAGCCTAAGAAACTTGTGGGACACCACCAAGCTTACCAACAAACACATAATAGGAGTCCCAGAAGGAGAGGAGAGGGAGAAAGTGGTAAAGTATATTTGAATAAGTGATGGCTGAAAACTTCCCACATTTGATGAAAGACATGAATCTACACACTTGAAAACTTCAACAAACTTTAAGTAGTATAAATGCAAAGAAATCCACACCAAAGACACATTATAATCGAACTGTTGAAAGGCAAAGACAAAGAGAGAATCCTAGAAGCAGTAAGAGAGAAGTGGCATCACAAACAGAGAATCCAGAATATGAGTAATGGCTGATTTCTCAACAGAAACCATGGAGGCCAGAGGGCAGTGAAATGACTTAGGCAAAGTGCCAAAAAGTGGAAAAACCCAGAAGTCAATGAGCAGATGAATGGATAAACAAAATGTGGTCCATCCATACAATGGAATAGTATTTAGCCACAAAAAAATAAGGTTCTGACAACATGCTACAACATGGATGAGCCTCATACAAAAGACTATATATTGTATAATTCCTTTTACATAAAATATGTAGAATTGGCAAATCCCTAGAGACAGACAGCAGATTAGTGGCTGTCAGGAGACCGAGGAAGGGACAATGGAGAATGGCTTCTAATGGGGCTGGGGTTTCCTTTCAGGGTGACGACAATGTTCTGGAACTAGATAATGGTGGTGATTGTACGACACTGTGAATGTGTTAAACTGAATTGTCCACTTTAAAATGGTGAATTTTATGTTACATACATTCTATCTCAATAAAAAATATACATATAACTAATTTCAAAAAGTAATTTTAGTCTCCCTTGAAACTTGAATGAGTATTTTACTAATGGGCATGGTTTTGTAACATCATATATTGGTCACTTGGAACATATGAGTTTACTGAGTTGGCAGATCTTCCAAACATTGCCACATTTCATTAAATAGTGTGAAGAAATCACATTCATTAATATCACCACCAACCTCATCAGAAAAGTCATCAACTTTTGGGAAGTTGTCAGGTTCCTGGTTGGCAGATACAACTCCAAAGTTTTCATTTCTTTGTTTGAAAACTTGAATTTTATCATTGGCAACAAAAACGTGCCAACTGTTTTTCTTAATATGTCAGGCTTTGTTCATTTTTGAAAACATGTCTGCCAAATACCTGAGTCTGAGTAATCACAGTTTGTCATTCTGTCAAGCAGAAATGGAGTTTTAGGAAAACAATGGCTAGTTCTGCCCACACATCAATCGAGCACACACAGGTTTTACTGGGAGGTGGTCATTGTACTCTGGTGGACTTCCCA